GCTGGGCATAGTTTAAAAGTTAGTGCACTTACTTAAAAGATAAATAGTTAAAATAGTACCTGGGGACAGCAACCCTTTCCAGACTTTATTCCATACAAATTTACTTTGTCGATCATTCGCCCTCTTAATTAAAGCTATTCACCGGAATTAACTCCTCATTTGCCTGGTAAATTAAAACATAGTATTGGTTAAGAATGCCTCTAGTTGCGCTCTCGTGTCTCGGTTGACATCGAACTTAAAAGTAAAACGGTAAAAACATATTACTGTTATTGTATATTAGTTGACAGCTACTTACATAGAATCTGCACGCGTACAGTATCAGGCACACGATGTGTTCTTCTGTTTTCAAAATGTCAACTATTTGGAGTGATTTCAGTCCTCGATTTTTTACGAAGAGAAGTCAACATAAAGTAAAAGCTGAAGCTTACACTTCCAAACGATAAACTGACAATCAGAGATAAGATCTCTAGTTAGCGATTGAAAAATTGCTAAGTCTTGTTTAAATAACCAGTTTAACAATCTAGTTAAGCCATTTAATCTGTTTATTCCATTTATTAATTAATCTGGATCTCTTTTTATCTGTTATCTAATCTATGTGACGATGTATGTTCTGTTATTCAAGTAAATTCATTTTACGTTTCACGTCACGGCAAATATTTTTGAAAAAAATTATATTTTGAAATTTTTAAAAATGTAATTATTATTTTATTAATTAATCAATTAATTATCTAATCCAAAGGTTGTCAGATAAAAAGTTGTTCTCTTTTATGTTTTGAACACATTGGTTCAATCTAGAACCTTCTACGACATTCAGAAGTCGTTTTATTAGCGGAGATTCAATGTGGTAAAAAGTGGTAAATAGTGGTTATTCTTTACAAATTTCGAAAATTTTACAAGTCCAAAATATTGAAAGTGAAAATTTTCAAAAGTTTTATAAAAATTAGTTCATTATACGTGGAATGTAATTGTGAACATTTTTATCAAAATATATTTTTGAAATATTTGAAAATTTTTTAATTATTTAATTAATTAATTAAATAATTAATTTTTGAAAAAGTTGTTAAAGAAAAAGTTGTTCTTCTTTGTTTTCTTAACACACTGCTTTAAACTAGAATCTTCTAGGATATTCAGAACGTGACTTATTTGCGGAAAACCAAAGTGGTAAAAAGGTGGTAGAAAAGTGGTAATTGTGGATTTTCCTGAAGTCTTTTTTTTTGGGAACTCTCTGGAATGATTCCTGGGACCTGTCCCGAACATATCCCGTTAAAATCGCTTTGTTGCGAATTTTGTCCGACAAAGGCTTAAATTAGGACGGATTTGACTGTACTACAGGGACTTATTCCAGGAATAAAGAAGATAAAGCAGGAAAGTGAGAGAGGAATCGAGCACTAACAAGGAAATGAGAACGTCAGGACCCTGGTGAAGTGAAGGAAGTTTAGCATTGATTAAACTCAGGACTCTTATTAGCTCCCATCACATGAGCGGACATATAAAGATAATATTTTTATTGGCTATAATATTACCACACGATCGAGGCTCGATAAACACACAAGGGTTAAACACACAGTGATATTTCTAATATTTTGCGTTGTAATTTATTTTGATGTTCGTTTCTAATTAAAGATTTAATTTTTGGACTGTTTGGGGTTTTCTAATAATACTGTCCGGGTATTTATAATTTATAACGTACTTTCAATTGATAAATTTTTCATTGCCCCGATGCTTACATCCTGCTATTTTGAATTATCTCAACCCAAACTGAAATCACCTGGACGCTACAATTTTGGCAAACACTTTCATAACTAAATTTACTTAAATACAACAAAGAATTCACGCATTTGTGAGTGATTTTGAACAAAGAATATGAGTAAATTAATACATATTAGATTGAAATTATATGTGCCAAAGTTCATGAATTTCTCTGGAAAAATATTAACCGAAAATTAAATCATTACAGATTATCAAGGTCGCAGTGTCATATAATATGTGAATCAAAACTTAATGTACACAACGTATTTTTTATGCCCCCTTTGGTTGTCGATGTTTCTCAAGACTTCACATTTCCCGTTTCTCCTCTTTCTCTTGGATGACAAACCCGCACACTCTTCTCCAAACGTAACACATTCTGCCTTTGCTTCTTCCAGGGACAAGTCTGACTTCAAGATGTTGTTTTTATTCGTCACTATTCTCTTCCCTTCAAACTTCTGCCACGTGATATTCTCGTCTTCATCGTCTTCCTCTCCGTTTTCCTCTTCATCTTCCTCATTCTCTTCGTCGTCTTCAGAGCAAAATTTGCATGTTTTTCTGCACACACTGGGCATGAGCCGTTTCCAAGTTGGACAGTCGCTATTACAGACTCCACTGTAGCCTCTGCAGGATTGCTGATTCCAGTGGTCAGTGCAATCAGGGGTGGGGTTCTCCTCCAAACACTGTCGTGTCGCTCCAAAATAGTAAGCGTTCCTCTTGGAAACAGCAAAATCTCCACCGTTGGCAAGTTGGCAGTTTCTAGGTACTCTGTCAAAGTGTGTGGTGTGTACACCCACACATTCCTCATCAGCAAAACACAGGTCCCGGCAATCGTTCATCGAGGTGAAGGGGACAGAATGGTAGATGTCCTTGTAATCGTATCCTCCGTGCTGCTGCCAGCAAAGAACATTATCACTCTTCAGCATATTTCTTTGTAGGGGTACTTCAGGTTGAACCACGCAAATTCCGCAAGTTTTAGCACAATTCTTCTCGATCCAGCGAGAGAAAGTCTTATCTCCGCACTTATCGGGACATTTGTCACAAGTTCCAGAACGGTCTTGACATCTCTCCAGCAATCCTATAGCTTCCGGTCCAGTAGCCACGGGTTCGTCAGAGTTGGCTCTAGCAGGGCACGTGTCTACTTCGTGAGCCAGTGCACTAGATAGGACCATCATGAAGAGAATGGACTTCATCTTAAGGTTCATAAAGTGGAGCTAAAATGGAATAACTGTTACAAAAGTTGGGGATTCAGAGAGATCTGCAACTATCTAACGGCTGACAGACAGCTTCACCCATTTATAGCTTTCCTTGACAATGTAAACTGGGAAGACATGAATTTAAAGCTCAGTGACCGACCTTGTAATCTTTTAAACAATAACTTAATCCTTTTCGTAAATAGAGCTTTAATGAAAACAATGATAATGACTTCACTCAGTCGAACTTTTATCTTTTAAACTTTCTAACAATAACTTCACCTTCCTCTTCGCCCACATTGTTATCTAGTGATAATACAAATTACTCTTAAGCAATTGTTTTATTAAATAATAATTGTTTTATTAATTGTCATGTGACATGCCATCATGCCATATGACATGCCATGTGACATGCCATGTGACCTGGGTTAAGTGGTTTTCTTCTCACTGGACGGCCCCTGTCCCCACAATATCTTCTATTCTTCTATCGCTTTTTAAAATAATTAATTAATTAAGGCTGGGGTGACCCCTATTTGGTAGGGAGTTGGTTGTTGGAGATTAGGATCCATTTATTTTACTAATTCACCCGCCAGCGTACTATCACGTGACTTGGATCTTTACGGCTTTGCAGCCTAATGGAACGGTCTTACCCGGCTCGGGACAATAATTATGTGTTAAATTTTCGGGCTAAAGTATATAATATATATTTATTACGTGACCTAGTTAGAACGTGACCTAGCGTGGTCATGCATGGGGCGACATGAGGAAAAAACTCATTTTATCTCATTAATCAGCCCAAATTAAAGATTTAATTCCATTTATTTTACGTCATAACACAACGATAACGCATCATTAGTGACTAACAGGAACCCGTCTAACCCTAAAGTGGTATCAAGAGACAACAATATTTATTTATTAAGTGATTTTGACACCACTTGGGGCCTGGGGTCCAAATTTCGGGACCTAAAATTCTTATTCCTTGGCAAATTTTTAATTTCTTCATACTGATCAAAAGGCCATAAAAGCATTTTACCCAGTCAAAAAAGTTTGAATGGTATTATATCTCTCACGGTTTTCGCGGGAAGTCGCGTTAAAGTTGATGACGTGATGTCAGTAAAATGGTAGTTCAGATATACACTATACAGATTACAGGGTGGCCAAGAAGTAACTACCCACACGCAACCCTTTAATAACTCACGTAATTCGTATAAGAATTGCTCAAAAATTTCAGAGAATATAGATATGGGTCAAACTTAGATTTCCTTAAAATTTCGTCAAATTTAATTAATTACAGTGGGTGTGGCACGCCACTCTCTCTTTTTCGCTATTGTCACCATAAAGTGAGAACGCTTTCAGCTAAGAAGTGCTTTCCCAAAATTTCAAGTTGGTAGTTCACAATTTAACCGAGTTATGACCCTTTTAATATCTTGCGGATACGTGATCTCGGTACTTAATCAGTGATTTCGTTACTCTTATCTGTAATATCACCTTAATATAAAATATTATAGCATGAATAAACTTGCTGTTGACTCTCGTGTATTACTTAATAGTAATAATAATAAGTTATTACTTACCTAATAATTAAAGTACATAATATAATGAGCAGGTAACCTACTTCCGTGACCTAATATTTTGGAGACGACGAACGTTTCATATAACGATTATTGCTTTGTTATATTTTATACCATTCAAAATGATAATAAAATGTACAAGTGACCATGTAAGAAAGTGTAATGAGGTATGTATTGCGTGGGTAGCTCAAGTGTAACCGGTACACGCTACACTGCTTGTAGAACACGCGGTTCACTGAGCTTACTGTACAGTTTAAAAACATTGGTTCATATTAATACAAATATGGGAAATGTTTAAGCAATTTAATTTAAATAATTTCAACCGTATCAGCTTTTTCTGATAACTAGCAATACATGTTAATAAGCGACAAGTAACTGAGTAACTAATCGGTTACTGAGTAACCGGGTTACTTAGCGACAAGGTCACTGAGTAACTGAGTAACTAACCGGTTACTTAGCGACAAGGTCACTGAGTAACTGAATAACTAACCGGTTTATTTTGTTCCTCAGAATCGTCCCCTCCCAGAATCTCATCAAGGTATCCTAAGTCGTACTTATCATCCAACCAATTCACAAAGATCGATATAGGAATCCAGAATATACTGCAAGGTATCGTTTGTTTTCATAAAGCCTATCATAGAAAACAATGTATAATATAATAATATAACATTTATAATAGTTCCTTAATATAGAGTTTATAATTCCTAGACTAAAATTTTACAGTTTGATATAATTTCCGTCCAGTAACTTGAATGTGGATTGTGGATGTCACATGACAGAATCGAGCTATTGAAAGTCAGATGCCTGGAGTATGCTTTAAAAAATGGAAGAACACTAAAATGTACTGTAAATTTCGTTAGAATTTGGTCAGTAAAATTAACAGTTTTTAACTAACTGACTAAGGAAGGTAATCCCGTTCCTGATATGAGTGGGAGGTGTTTTGAAATTGTTCCCTCCAGTGAAATAAGACCCACCTAGTGAACAGTATGATGTTGAAGAAGACCTACCTAGTGAACAGTATGTAGTTGAATAAGACCCACCTAGTGAACAGTATGATGGTGAATACGACCCACCTAGTGAACAGTATGATGGTGAATAAGACCCACCTAGTGAACAGTATGATGGTGAATTATGACCCACCTAGTGAACAGTATGATGGTGAATAAGACCCACCTAGTGAACAGTATGATGGTGAGAATAAGACCCACCTAGTGAACAGTATGATGGTGAATAAGACCCACCTAGTGAACAGTATGATGGTGAATAAGACCCACCTAGTGAACAGTATGATGTGAATAAGACCCACCTAGTGAACAGTATGATGGTGAATACGACCCACCTAGTGAACAGTATGATGGTGAATAAGACCCACCTAGTGAACAGTATGATGGTGAATAAGACCCACCTAGTGAACAGTATGATGGTGAATAAGACCCACCTAGTGAACAGTATGATGGTGAATAAGACCCACCTAGTGAACAGTATGATGGTGAATAAGACCCACCTAGTGAACAGTATGATGGTGAATAAGACCCACCTAGTGAACAGTATGATGTTGAATAAGACCTACCTAGTGAACAGTATGATGGTGAATAAGACCTATCTAGTGAACAGTATGATGTTGAATAAGACCCACCTAGTGAACAGTATGATGGTAAAGACGATGTTATTTGTAAACCACTTGACCACCATATTCACGCTTATCTCATCTATTATCTCCCAAAACTTCTCCTGAATATCTTGAGCACTCACCTGCAAAAAGGTATAATTTATAATGTATAACAGTGGTACGTGGAGTGTACACATGGGGTTAATAAATGACCTAATTGTGATATTTGTTCCTGGCTAGCTTTAATTTCAAGACTTTTGACGTTGACCGAAAACAATCGAGGGTATGGAGAAATAAATTCGATTCACTTTATTAATCAAAACTACATAGGTAACTAACAAAATTTATGACGCATTGCGTAACATGCAAAGAAGGCTAACAGGGTCCAAAGAAATGTTGTGTTTAAAACAACCATTCAGTGAACGTTTTCAAACACAAACACAATCGGCTGGATACAAAACCTCAGTCTTACCTCACAAACTCCCTTTACACAGATGCCGTTGCCACAAATCTTGCCATCAGACAGCAGGCTAGACTTGCTGGAGGAATTGTAGTAGACTTCACAGCTGCTGTCGTCCGTATCTTTGCAGCATAACTTGCACTGTCGTGGGAGGATACAGGTGAGAATACAGTGTCATGTAGCAACGTGTTTTTAGAAACGATTGTAATAAAACCTGCACAATTCCCTCCAGGTTGGAGATAATGTAGCCCGTTGTGAAATCTTCAAATCTTGGTCAATGATCCACGAGATATTCCTCCCTCTTATTCCTCCAATCTTACAATCAGTAGTTCTTAATTATTTAAGTCTAGTTTTACGATTGTACTTATTTTTAGTAAATGTCCTCGGTTATATCCCTGAATATCGACTGTCTTTTAAAAACGATTTTTTTTGTGTTTCGTTTTCATAGAAGATTAAATAAATTATAACAAATGAGATGCAACTTAATGACAACAATTTTATTATCACAATCTTTTACAAAATCAGTAAAAAAATATTGACGTAGTGGACTGTTGCTTATATTTTCACACATTATCCGAAATTATTTTACAAATTTAATTACAAAATCTATTTAAATGCTCCAAAAGATCAATAAAAGCTGTTTTCAGTAAATATAATAGCCATGATTGGAATCCGTAATTACGCAAATTTGTCCGTTCCATTAAATGGGCCACATCCCCAAACTTGAACCTCCACAACGTTCATATCCGTATATCTTGGTTGATGTAGTGTCACAGTTGAGCCGTACACGTCACCAGAAACTTCGAAATCGTAAAAGAACGAGACACCAACAGCAGTCCCGATATAGGTGTCGTCGACTAGGATACGTGTTCCTTGAAAACGAACCTTCTCGTTTGGGTTGCGGGCATTCCATACCTGTATCTTTACCACTCTAAATAGTCCTCCAAGAGTTATCCAAATCTTCTCGTTTGTGGAAGCGCTTGCTTTAGCCGAATACACTCTCACATAATTGAGATATTCACTGAAACCAACTAACCCGTCCGTTATAACACCAGTCTCATACTCGCCGTGTCGGTTTGATTCATGCGTCATTTTGTAGAGTGAGATGAGTCTTATCTCGGACATCCAAGCTTGTTGGCGAACCTTCATTGTTTCCATCAAGTTGGTGCTGGTTTCGATTTGTCTTATCAAGAAAGCGGTCTTATCTTCTAACTTTTGCTCCAACGAAACTGCTTTTGTGTTAGAGTCGGTGACTTTTTTACCGATTAACCCGAGCGCGGTTTCGACCTGAACAAGCTGAGCTGGAATTACGGTCAAGTTTTCAGAGGAAGTTTGCACTTCGGATAGTTTAAGTAGAACCTTTTCATCCAAATCAACTACTTCCTTATCTAAAGTTGCGATGACAGACTCAATTTGGTCCAGTCGATCACGGATCATGCCCTGGAAAATAGTAATGTTTTTCAACATTTCGCCAGTCTTAGGATTTTCCGTACCAGCTTCATTCAAGCGTTCAGCAATTACGTTCAGTACCGTTGAACTGGCAGCAGTATCCTCCTTGATAGAATCGACCTTTTTCTCTATATCAGAACAATCCTCTGAAGAACTCTCTCTGTCAATAAATGCAAATACTCGTACCAGCACGTCAAAAGCTTGCTTTACTATATCACTTCCCTCCTCTATCATATTCTGTGCCTTCTTCTGCATCTCCTCTGCTTCGTCCCTAACTACTTGAGCTTCGTTTCTTAAATTCTTCGCTTCAATCTTTGTCGCCAGTGCTTCTGATCGAATCGACTGTGCTTCAAATCGTATCGACTGTGCTTCAGATCTCATCGACTGTGCTTCCGACCTTTCTATAGCTGCTTCTGACCTTTGGGCTTTTGCTTCAATTTGCATATCATAGGACAAACTCAAGAGTTTCCTAAGATCACTATCCGGAGGCAAATTACCAAGGTTAACATCGGTGTTACTGTCAGCTTCTGAGTAGTGAAATAACACAAAGAGACCCAACAAAGCTCCAACTGACATGACGATTGACGAAAATATGCAGTATACGAGTTTTTATGAAAATATAAAATGATAACATGGAATGATAATTACATATTTTATCTAACAATGACGCGTGAGGACTTACAAATTGAAGCTCGAATTATACTGAAGTAAAATTTAAACCTGTGTACGCGGTTTTATATCCGTCCTGATTCGAGCATTTCTTTAAGTCCAAATAACTAACATTTTGATATGGTCGTAAATTATTGTAAAAACAGTGAAACTTACAGCCCAATTACTACGGAAGTACGGAACCCCCCACGGATTCTGTACCCTTATTTTAAGCTGTTTAGATTTAAGTTCTTGATATTTCGAGCATTCCAAGTGATTAGTTTTGAATGGTCTTGACTGGCATTTTGATTGAGCCATTTGGCCCATCTCCAATTTTCATGATAAAGTGATAATTAACAAAGCATTAGAATGATCCAATTAGCCTGCAGGAATTTGAATCAGACTTTCACGTGCGCTTATTTTAGAATCTTTAAAGTAATAATATCGTGTGAATCGCCGTTAAAAATTCAGTTCTGCCTATGTTTTTGTCCCCCCTCTATCTCGAAAGTAAAGAAAAGCTAAAGACACCTCTGACCGCGCCTAAAACTCTCAACTCCTACTACCATTTAACCCCTACAGTCTACACGCGCACCTGAAACTTCGATTTTCGGCTTTGAGGCCCAGCCCGCCCATTAAAGCATTATATTCAGTTAAATATATATTCAAGAATGAAATACAATCTTGGATCAGATTATTCTTTTACAAGCAATCAAGGTGGGCTCATTGGTTAGTTTCGTTGATACGTTACAAGTGGGTGTAAGTGTTAAACCCTTACGCTGTAAGAGGTGAATTAAAGTAAAATAGACGGTTTTCTTACTTTTCTATTGTTTGATAAAACTACCAATCTGTGACAGGTCGTGTTACGATTTCATTGGTAAATACTTACTATTAATTATGGTACATACAGTGTGCAGCTAAGGGACATTCTAATCCTATGGTGTATTCATGGTAACCATGGTAAATTCTTTGACAAATACCAATCTTACAAAGTTTCACGGTGCAATTTAAGTAAAACCTAAAATAAATGGCTCGAAACTATAACTGTACACACAAACAGTAAACACTGTGTTTGCATAGCATCTGGTGCCCGACAGAACTTGTTGCAACACCTTTTACCATGTCCTAAAATAAAACTATAACTGTAAAATAAAACTAACCATATCATCCTCCTGAGTACACGAACAGGACACTTTCCCTCTGTACTCACAGAACTGTAAACACTGTCCACTTTTGCATGAACCACTGTCAAAACAATCCGTTCCATCCGGAACATGTGAACCTGCCGCACATTTCCTGGGAAACAGGATATTAGAACAGTCAATGTCGAGAACTAAACAGGACTTAAGAACAGTCGAGAACTAAATCAATAATTACATTCCAGAACAATGTAATTTTATCATCGACCACTTCGAATATACAGTCTCCTAAAGTGGTAAGCTCTACTGCTGGAAAATTAGGAGTTTGTTATGAGACAAGATTAGTATCTATTAGTGAAGAATACTTTAAAGCGAATGAGTGTGTAAAACATGAGAAACCACGTGACTACATTTTATATTGTCATAGCTATATTGTCATAGCTATAAGCGACTAAATGTTGCATCTCGTTTATTATAGCTTTCTGCTTTCTTGTGTTTTGCACCGGCTGCAGCTTCTCGAGATTATAATGCTAATAAGGTACTAACGAATTGCTATAACTGAAGCAGATACCATAGTTCGTTGGATATAGTGTTTAGTTTTATTCGAGGCTGGATCCTTACCCCTGACTGTTACAAGAGTAATCAGACACACAATGCTTGCTATCAACTTCCTTCCAATCAGTTGACAAACAGACTGAACCAACTGATTTCAACTTGCAGCCAGCACAGCACTCGCTATTAGAGTCCTGTCCAATCAAATGTTACTTAAACGCTAATAATCAGGCCCCTTCTCAATGGTTACTAACGTGACTTATCTAGAACTTTAACTCGAAACAATATTTATCTTTTATTCCCGTATCATGAGCTGAAACTAGAACGACTCCAAAACAAACCTCACATGTTGAACCGGTGGTTAGTTTGCAGCCGAAGCAGCAAGCCGAGGAGTTAGCACCAGAGTCACACTCCTCCGCCTCTTCCACCACTCCGTTACCACATAATTGTGTGGTTACTTCCTCGAAACACAGACTTGACTTCGCTGCCAGCACCTGTAATTGGGGTGTTTACTTGGGTGCTCAGAGCTATTTTAAAATATACAGGGTGGTCCAAAAGTCAGTACCCATACGTTGGCCTTTATAGCTCAGTCACTGATTGCCCGATTGAGGTAATTCTTTTTGGCAGCCAAATTTTATTGAATTGTGTTTGGCTATTCAAATTACGCTCATACTGAAAAAATGAGAGTTTTATCCTCTTAGATGACAGAGATACGAAGCATTTAAACGATTTTATTCATTATGTGTGATTATGTGATTGGCTTATTTGATGACGTGATTAGCTGACCCCGTTAAATTTCAAAGGCAGCACAATTTATGTGTCGTGTCACATAATCACCCAATCAATTTTGCTAACGAGATACACAAACATGCTTTAAATAACTTCGCCATTCCAAATCCGTTTTGCCTCATTTTTTCTAGATCAGATGCAACAATTAATTATCTACAGTAATCTGAAAACATTGGGCGTCTAGTATGTTCGGAAAGAAAAATATAGGTGATTTAATATTATATGGGCGTGGTCTGAAATAATCGAACTTTCGAATTTTTTCGACGGAATCCTCGAATGAGTAGTTATAGCATGTCATCTGCAAAGTTACAGGTCTCAGATAAGAAAAGATGAAAGAGATTTTTGAAGAGGAGTTTTTCTGCCGTCCCCTTGAGCAAATTTCACTGTTTTGACTAAAATTTTCTTGAATGACCATCTTACAAGGTCACTGAGGATGGCACACCGCACAAGACACGATTGAGGTACTCAAAGTTCTATTCCTAAAGAAAGCTTTGATAAACGGAAAATCATCACAATATAAAACTATGAAATACGGCGGTGGTAGAAGACCCAACGTATGTAACGTTACTTTTGGCCCCCCTCCCCTTTATTATACATGAACGGTTAGACACGATTAACCTGAATTTAAAAAATATCATGATACAAAATGCAGCAAAACACTCACATCGTTGATAGCTTTCTTGCTGCAGTTAGAGAAGAGGTAATTGTTGGATTGAGCACCGTCCACTGCAGCTGGATACATCATGTACCTGTTGTTGTTTGGTGCGCACTCTTCTGAGCTGTCTGAATCATGGGAACTACCCCAGTTGTGTCCAAATTCGTGACCTGTCAATCGACTGTATCAATCGAAAAGGTGGTAAAACGAACATTTGAGAAATGCATTATCCAACATATACAAAAGTCTCAGCAAATTATGAAAAGTAACTTACCAGTCACAAATACAACTTCTGATGTTAGAAGAGTTCTACCATAGTTCACCGTAGTAGTAAGACCAACGTTAGTATACTTCCTCTGTCCAGTTCCGTCTGTGTAAGATTTTGTACAAACCCCCCCTACACTTGATGTGGAGCTGGATGCAATAAAGGCAAGGCCCAAAACTCCAGAATCAAAATCATGGTTAGAGAACAGATGAGCAAGACAATAGTCTCCCCAATTCCCGTAAGCAAAGTTTGTCAGGAGATCTGATACTCCAGGAGTGTCATTTTCAGCATAATACTTGTAGGAGTCTGAATCTGCAGAAGCTGTCAGTGGTGAGGTGACAACCTCGACATATTTAATCTGAAAACCATAACCTTTATAAGCGTCACTACCATCAGGATCAAGGGACTGAGCTTGATACAGGGCATCCACCTGTTGAACAAGACTAACCATGTAGCTCATTGCATTACTCTCATCCTTTTCACATATGTTAGAGTAGAATAGGTAATCAGCTACTAGTGCAAGTGAGCAGCGATTTTTAGATGATGTTGACCTGCGTTTTCGTGAGTACTCAAATCCTTTATCATGACTCCCACTGTCTTTGGGAAACATGGACTGAAATTCGTTGGCATAATGTTCATTCTTGTGCTGATGAGACTCGTGACCACAATAATGTCCATCATCTATACTTGTTATATTGAACTTAATGTCAGACTGCTTGTATGCAATCATATGAAAATCATGAGGTTTTGAAATGTGGCGGACAGATGGTTCAATATAATATTTTTCACCTCCTGATGTTTGAATGGATCCAGTGACTATGTCATTTCTAATGTGAATTATAACACGACTCTGAGGTTCGTTTATCAGTGTTCCTTCCATAAATTCAAAGATATCCAAAGCACTTGTTTTTAATTCCATATTTTTGCGTTGTTTAACCACCAGATCAGGATGAAATAGATCGAAATGAGGTTGGAGCGAGCAATGAAATTCCTTTCCATCGATATCTATCTTAAAGTAGAATTGAGCTGCGGATGTGACAGTCGACTTGGATACTTTTTCAAGATAGATATGCTCCTTTTTTAAAGCCTTAAAGTCACGAAGATAATTCTCAAGATTTCCATTGACTGCAACACACAAATAAACATAAAGTAATCCAGTAAACAGTAGCTTCATGAGTCCTGTAAAATACAAATTTCGGGTTATACAAAATTTGTAACAGGAATGAATGTCTTTTCTCAAAAACAATTGTCTTATCTCCATGGACAACTACTGTTCAATCAATTATATTATAACAAGAGGAATACAATAGCTTGGGACCACTACATCCTCATCATCTTCAATGGAATCATGGCTCATGTTCATGAAAACTGCCAGTTGCGATTTGTTGATGATGAAGTGATAACTGATGAGGACTGGGTTCTTGTAACTCATTCTGTGAGGATTACTTAGTCCTTAGACAATATTGGCAAAATGAATGGCTATCATGTTATCATTTAACCGGCTATCACACTCTTCTTTAAACTCACATGTTTTTGAAAGCAACTTATTTAATCAAATCAAATCCAATCAAATAATAATGAACACAAACATCATCACCCTTATTAGTGCAGGGTTACATTCATTTAGACTTGAATTGTACTTATCCTTTCATTGAACAGCTGCAGTGCATGCAAATGTGCGAAGTACAGGTTTTCTATATTCACTCATGATTGAGTCACGCATTTCGGCAGCCTGTTTGTAACGGGGTCTTTCAAATCAGCATAAAACAATAAAAAATTGGCCAAGGAATAGCAATTTTGGTGCCCAAAATTTGGACCCCCAAGTGGTGTCAAAAATGCGAATTAAATAGGTAATAATTATTTGAGTCTCTTGAGTCTTGAAACCACTTTAGGGTTAGACGGGTAATTCAGCGAGCAGTTGATTGCTGAGTAATTCTTAAAAAGGAAGTTGATTAGACTTAAGCTTAAGGTTCCATCCCCCTAATGGGAATTCTGGAGCGTGCTTGAATCAAGATAATCAAAATTGCTCCTTCAGATGTGAGAGCTTATTAAATTAAAAGCAAAAGATTCTTCGTCAACAGAGTAGCATACCTCATAGCAAGGAAGGAGAGATACTACGATGTAGTAAAACATGTGAGAACAAGGATAAGATTTGCAATGTTGAGAACAAATCTTATTGCTCTACGAGGGTACCAAGGAAAGAAGGTGGACACCAAACGTGAGATTCATCTATCAGAAGTCTCATACAACCTCATCCCTGCCCCTATAATGGAGTAGATTATGTGTTTTGTTTTTAAAAATTTTGGTAGCAATGTATTGTGCTCTGCCAATTGCAACACTAAAAATGTGATTGTGCTCTGCCAATTGCATCACTTGATTTAATTGAATGTATACATTGCAGACAGATGCAAAAACAAAGAAAGTTGGAATGTCATAAATGAGATAACTGGCAGGAAGGCCAAGAAGGCAACTCAAATAAGGGGCAACGGAGCCGAAGAGAGGAAGGACAGATGGTATTGCGCCAGATCAGTGGAGGATAAGCAACATCATCCCGGTCCCCAAAAAGGAAGACTTGAAAAACCCTGGAAACTGGAGGAGAATATCTTTGACTTCACTTGTAGCTAAGACTCTTAATTTTTTTTAAATATAAATTGTTTCAAACAGTATACACATAATGTCACAATGACCCTATATAAAAATAACCCTTCAAACATTCAATATTTTGAAAATCACCCTTGGCCTTGCGGCTCCAAGTTCAAATCTAAACTGTCTATATTGACAAAGTTCTTTCTCGCCCCTCTGTCTCCCCGGAAAGAAATTACCGTCGTTCTTAATAGAATGGTGCTTAATAGGATCCAGCCGCCTATAGAGGGGGTACTTAGGGACACTCAACATGGTTTTCGGGAAGGACGGTCCACTACTAGTCATATCTTGGCACTCAGAAGGATTCTAGAGGGGGCTAGAGAGAGAAATTTACCGGCAGCTATGGTGTTTGTTGATCAGAGCCCTCTCGCTTGCAGCAGCGCACGACCACTGAAACATGCGCGTCACGCAGTACAAGTATACACATTTCACCTAACCAGTAACCATGTGCTTTCGTGCCACTGCAAGCGCAAGGGCTCTGGATAGAGCAATATACACATGGCTATGTGAATGTTCGAACAATACATACATGCTACATGAAGAGGTCTCCTCCTAGTCGTTGGAGTGGCCTGCATCACACACATCTCTTCTACGGCGTAACATGTTCCTCCATTCCACTCGCTTTAGAGCCAACTGTTTTACTGCATCTCTGCTGATGTTATCGACACCTGTAAATTCAGCCGCATCCTCGAGTACACAGGCCATCCAGCCTTTGCGGGGTCGTCCTCTCAGTCTCTTTCCATAGTTTGGTTTCCAATCCAGTAAGAAATTGGGAAACCGCGTCTCTGGCATTCTGACAACATGTCCGTACCGCCTTAGTCTAGCCGCACCGATGAAAGTTTCGATAGACTTAATTCCAGCACGCCTGAGAACTTCTTCATTGGAGACATGGAAGAACCACTTTATCTTCAAGATTCTTCTCAGGGAGGTCAGATGGAAGACCTCAAACCGTTTCATCTGCTTCTTTGTTGTGTTCCACACTTCGGCTCCATATAACAGAATAGTAATAACAGCAGCCTTGTAGATACGGATCTTGGTGGGCGTTCTTATAGTTCGACTGTTCCATATCTTCCAAAGCTGATGGAACGCACCATTAGCACGCTGGATCCTGATGTCAAGATCTCGGTCAATGGTACCATCCCCACTGATGTTGGCACCAAGATAAACAAAGTTGCTGACCTGTTCAACAGGTTCTCCCTCCACTGTTAGCTTTATACTGTCTCTTTCGGTGTAAGGTCGCTGGGACGCACACTTGCTGATCGCCATGCATTGTGTCTTTTTAGCGTTGATCTTCAACCCAGCATAAGAGGTGTAATAAGCTATAAGATCAGTGGACTCTTGCAGCCCTTCTTCAGTATTGTCCATCACTGCCAGATCATCAGCGTAGTCACTGTCCATGATAACTTTTTCATCTGCACCCTTTAGTTCCTTTTGCAGTACAGCACCATGACTGATTGCCTTGTGAACCTCGGCCAAAAAGATTCCAAAGTTCAGACAAAAATTAAATACAGGGGGGCCCTGGATATCACCCTGTCCAGTGCCCGAATTAACAGAGAACCAATCAGACATTTCACCATTAACCCTGACAGCACTCGTGGTTCCGTTGAAGAATGCCTGAAAGATTCTAACATATTTCTCAGGAAGTCCATAGTGTCTCATGCTTGACCAAATAAACTCTCTTCTGATGGAATCAAACTCTGCCTTAAAATCAATGAAATTAACATAAAGTGGAATGTTAAACTCAATGCAGTTGTGAATAATGGTGCGGATGGAATAAATCTGATCAATACATGAGCGGTTCCGTCTGAACCCACACTGATTTTCCCTAAGAAGACACTCCATTCCAACATCCAGCCTCTTAAGAAGAACCATTTGAAGAACCTTAGAAGACGTTGCCCTAAGAGTTATACCCCTATTATTGCAGCAGTATGAGGTGTCTCCCTTCTTTCCGATAACCACTATAACACCTTTAAGCCAATCCTCAGGGATCACCTCTTCCTCCCATACCTTTTTAAACAGTAGCTCTAGTTGGTCAACAAGAGCACTTCCACCATACTTAAGTTGTTCATTAGTTATCTCATCAACCCCTGCACTTTTGCAGTTCTTCAGTTTCTTTAGAGCATAACTAATCTCATCTCTAGAAAGAGGTCCATCAGAACAAGAAAGGTAGTCAGAACTCGGTTGTGAGGGCACACCATCGAGGTCATCAAGATTGGCATCCGATAGTGGAGGATTTAAGAGCTCAGTAAAGTGCTCCTTCCACCTTTCCTTCTGACTGTCCGGGTCTGTAATAAAATGACCATCCTTATCCCTAACTGACATACCCACTTTCTTCTTCTTTTTCCCAGAAATCTTCTTTATCTTATCCCAAACTTCCCTTTGCTGGCCTTTCTTAGAAGCCTCCTCTAGATCAGTCGCTATTTTAGTAGCCCAGTTGTTGTCGTCAATTTTACAACTTTTCTTAACTAATTTATTAAGTTTATAGTAGGCTGATCTATTGACGTTTGAAGTGGGATCCCTCCGTTTGAACATTCCCCGTTGCTCTATCAAGTTCTTAGAGGTTTGCGAAAGGTGTTGTTCTTTAACCTTCCGGGGACGCTTTCCAAGCACTTCCATCGAGACATCAGTGACTGTCTGCTTGAAATTATCCCACATGTCCTCAAGGTTGACCTCATTAGCCAGACAATCAAAACGGTTCTGAAGAGCCACATTGTACTCTTGAACCTTAGACGAGTTTCGCAAATGTTCGATAGCAGGCACATCGTGCCTTTTAGCAGTGATCTTAGCTACCGACTGCAGTTTGATTTGCAGCCGTCCACGAACAAGATAGTGATCTGAACCAATGTCAGCCCCACGACATACCTTAACATCGAGTAGCGAGTGTTGGAATCGTCCACTAATACAAATATGATCTATTTGATTCACAGTTAACCCGTTAGGAGACCGCCATGTACCCTTGTGGATGTCTCTATGCTGGAACAGAGTTCCACCAATAACAAGTTGATTGGCTGCACAGAAATCCATGAGCCTGGTCCCATTGTCGCTTGATGAACTATGGAGAGATTCTCCACCAATAACTCCCTCGAATCCATATCTGTTTGAAGTAACTTTTCCATTGAAGTCACCCAGTAGCAGTTTCAGATCATGTCGGGGCAGTTCACCAAACGTGTCTGATAAAACGTTGTAAAAACGATCTTTCTCTCCGTCATCAGCACCGTCAGTCGGAGCGTAGGCTACAACAACAGATATGTTGAGGTGTTTGCCGTGTAACCTAGCTGTTAAGACCCGCTCTGATGTAGGTACATAAGAGATCAGGGAGTTCCTGACCTTTTTGGAAAGACATAGGCCAACCCCTTGCCTTTTGATACCATCTCCCCTACCAGAATGAATAAGTAGACTACCATTGTCCAAAAGTGTACTTCCAGATCCTGGCATATGAGTTTCAGTAATACCCAAAATATCAAGACTGTAGTGATCAATGTTCTGACTGAGTTGATAAAGCTGTGAAGATGAGCTGACTAAAGATAAAACATTCCAGGTTCCAAAGTACATTGAGTGTTTGCTGTAGTTGATAGGATTGGACTTGCTGAAGTCAGTGTCAACATGAGCGATCTGTTGACTAATTACTCTGTTGTTATGACGAGCAACCACTCTTCTCATCAGGCCACTGGGGTCCCTGAGGCTTTGCCCAGTTGCCGTCATCCTGGTCTCACCCGACCTTGCAGAGGTAGAAGCACACCGTCCTTGATTTGTGTGTAATGTTTCAGTAGCAAACTTTTAGAGTTTGATACTGAAACATTACACACAAATCAACAATTATGGCACATTATAAAAATTTATTTGCCTGCCATGTGTTGTCCATGTTAGGCCATGTTAACAAACTAACTTGGCGCGCGCTACTTCGAAGAAATTTAAACGAGTAACATTTATTAAGCCATGTTGCATGTGCCGGCCAGTCATACCAGAAATAAAACAAAAAGTACTGCGCGCAAATAAATAATGAAAAAGCAATAAAATTTTATCAAACTGCAAGCACTTCTCGACTTATAATCTCATCGGAAAATGAAGCAATATTAAACTTAATTGTATCACGTTACGAACCCCACGGTCGTTTCACTTAATCGTCCTGGCGATACAGGGGAGCCGCGCACTTGTGCGCGGCGGGTCATACAACGTATGTCAAGAACTTAACAGGTAATAATTTCACATAGCCATGTGTCGCGGCTCTGGTTAGAGCAAGGTAATACTCATAAACTCGGCGCGCGTCCTGGTAGGTTATAAACCTACAATATTTGATATTGAACATGTAGCAAAGCTAAAGCCGTACAATAACAAAAATTTCGCCGTGGTTAAACCACGCACGATCAATTTTCCCTACGATGTATTTGTATAATGTATACCTTTAATTATTTTGAGTGAAAGGTGTGACTGGCCGAAAAAAAGTGGAACATATTTACATGCTATGTTATTTATAAATGAGTGGGATTCGTGCATGGTAAAAATTGACGATTTGTTTGACCAATGTAGCGCCGCGCATCAACAATAAATGGATCCAGAAAATTGCGGAAAATAACTTTGCGAAGGAGGAATTTCACTGTAACTAATTAACACATGGCTAGCGTCGCGCGAAGCATAACATACGCTTCCTATTTGTAGGTTTACAACCTACCAGGACGCGCGCCGAGTTGGACTCGTCGACAGTCCAATATATGGAACAGATATTTTACGAGTATCACCCGTTAAGCTTCCTATACAAATAATTAATTGTGGGTGGCGTCGTCTGCTTACAGTGCTCAATCGGCAAGCCGAGAGCTAGATACAAAATGAAACGACCGGTTGAGTCAGACAAATGTTTCAATCATGATACAAAACCATGATATCATCAGTGACAACTGAGGTATAGGAACTAAAATCAAAATTACAATTGTAATTTTGATTTTAGTTCCTATACCTCAGTTGTCACTGATGATATCATGGTTTTGTATCATGATTGAAACATTTGTCTGACTCAACCGGTCGTTTCATTTTGTATACAAATAATTATACATGTTTAGCCGATAGCTGAACCAATTTAAAATTGTATTCGCTCAATTTCCTGGCACGCTAATTCCAATGCGCTGCGCACTTTTTGAGCTTCTCGCATTAAGTGATGTTACCGCGGCGAAATTCTTGTTAAATATAGAGAGTCTAGATTTGAACTTGGGGCCACAAGGCCAAGGGTGATTTTCAAATGCAGATGCCAATATTTTAAATGGGGAATATACTGTGTTTTTGAAGGTTTAAATATACATAGGGTCATTGTGAAATTATGTGTATATATATAATTACGTGGATACAAAGATCAAATGATTGACTTGAATGGTTCTATTTTGGCGAGAACTAGGAAATCAGACCATTACAAATGTGGTGCTGTAAATTTGCAAGATTCTAAGCCAAATTAAAATACAATTCTCGTGAAACTGGCTGACAACCTTACACTGCAACTTTTAATTTTTCAAACAGTATTATATATACAATAATTTTTTTTTTGTACGAATACAAATATAATATAAAAATCTGAAAATTATCTTTAAATTACATTCAATTTCAGCAATGGCAAATTGGCTGACTATAAGGTCATGGCCTGAACAAACAATTTTTTTAAATAGTCAAGTGATGCTAAAGCAGAGCACAAATGTGTAATAAGTTAATAGATTAAAAACTGATTCATGTGATGCATTACGCAGAGCACAGATAAAAATACTGATTCAATGATTAAAATTATAGCTGTGAGTGTCAATAAATTACTGTGTCATAAAAAAGGAACGATGCACACGTGATCTGAGATACCAATATCAAAAGGATAGTGTCTAGAAACATTCATAGTCCATGGTGGCAGGTATCAAGTTAAGGCCACAGGGGGGGGGGGGGTCGAGGCTTCAAAAAATGCAAAAAAACATTATGCCTTGAATCAATATATATTTTTGTGGTGGATACTTTGCCACCTCTCATTTGTCTGTAGCTATTTTACTTTTTTTTATAAATGAGGTTAACCAATTCTCATTTAACCTCATTTTTTTGATAAATCGATAATGGAGGGCAGAAATATTGATGCCATTACAACTGAAAACTACGATAAGCTTTGTTTTTATTGTTTTTGTGTTATATCAGCAGTTAAACTTTGAAAAATATACAAATAAAGGCAAAATACTCAAAAAATCACATAACATAAAAAACAGTTTTTTGCCTAACATTAACATTATAAATAATGCCTCTCTGGGCATCTCAAAAAGAAATTCATAGAAAATGAACACTTTACATTTGAAACCATATAATTACAAACTTTTTAAAAAATTTAATTAAATACCTTTGATATTAACCTTCTTCCTCTTAGCTACCAATGGATTCTCTTTCATATAACTTACATAACTATTCCTATTAGACACAGACACATCTATCCTATCAAAGATGTCATATGAAAGTTCCCAGTGATGACCAAGCTTATTAGCTCGATATCCATGAAGCCGAAAGGCATCTAATCCCCTCTTGAAACCAGTAACTGACTCACTAGCTTTCACAAGTGGTGGTAGACTGTTCCAATAGCGCAAGACCCTTTGGGCAAAGAAATCAGTCTCATTTGTGGTGAATCTATGAGTCTTTGATCTAGCAGCAACGGTCCTACCAGAACGACCAAATAAATCGGAACCATAACCCACAAAGCCTTCCTGGATCTTGAACATCTCAATGAGATCTCCACGAACCCTGCGTTCAAGCAGGGTTGTGAGGTTCAGCTTATCCAGTCTCTCTCTGTACGTCATGAGTCCCAATCCATCAATCATACGGGTGAACGATCTTTGAACACCTTCCAATTCAAGAATCAGTGACCAGTTTCCATGCCTAGCCATTGGAGCCCATGCCTGTGAACAATACTCTATATGAGGCTTTACTAAAGACTTATACAAGCCCAGCATAACGCTTTTCTCCCTCGATATAATATTTCTTGTAAGCCAGGCAATGGTACTATTAGCTTTAGCAATGCACTTTCTCACATGACCCTCAAAGTTGAAGCTGGTGTTAAAGACAACTCCAAGGTCCTTCTCGCTTTCAACACATCTCAAAGGCACACCACCAAACAAGTACTGATTCTTAGGATTACAAGAACCAATTTGCATGACCATACACTTATCTACATTAAAATTTAAACACCAACGAGACTCCCAAAGTTCTAGCAACTTCAAATCAGCTGTTAGATTAATAAAAGGATTAACAATCATTTTAACATCATCAGCAAAAAGTTTGATGATAGCTTTGATTCCTTCTGGAAGATCATTTACAAATAAAAGAAAGAGCAATGGTCCCAAAACACTGCCTTGGGGCACTCCTGAAAGTATATACTTAATCTCAGAAAATTCATCTCCTACTTTAACTTTCATAGACCTCCCTACTAAAAAGTTTTCTAAAATACCAATTATCTCCTCAGGAACACCAACATTTCTTAATTTAACTAATAAACGGTGGTGTGGTACGCTATCAAAGGCCTTAGAGAAATCAAAGTATAATATATCAGCACAGCCACCTTCAGCCAGCAGCTCTCCTGAAAACCTCGAATTTTTTACTTCAAAATCTATCTTCTCCTAGAGTTTTTATCCATTTCACCTCAAATTTGGAACTTATGTTCCTGACATAAATTTAAAAGTTTGTTATGCAACGATTGTTGTAATTTTGCTCCTAACTCTTTTTATGAGGTTAACCATTTTAAATTTTGTAACCCGCACTCATGGTTAACCTCATATCTCAGCTTTGGAGCAAGATATCATAAATCGTTACATAACAAAAACTCAAAATACCTTTAAGAACATTGTTGCCAAGTTACAAAACCTGTGAGTCAAGTATATATCTAAGTGATTGTACACAGTATGAAATTATAGATATTATTAATGAGTTCACAAATGGTAAATCTAGTGACATTCCAATTCACGTTATAAAAAAGTCTGCTAGAATAATATCTCCCTTTTTAGCCAAGCACTTTAACCATTGCATGCAACAGGGGATATTCCCAGATGAACTTAAATTAGGAAAGATAAGTCCCATCTATAAAAAAGATAATCAGGAACTATTTGAAAACTATAGGCCAATATCAACCTTACCAGTATTTGGAAAAATTTTAGAGAAACTTATTTATAAACGTATGTACAGCTTCCTAATTGCTAAAAGAATCATTTATGAGAACCAATTTGGATTTAGAAAGGGTCACTCAACAAGCCACGCACTGAACTTATCTGTTAGCCATATCGAATCACACTTAAAAGACAGGAAACACGTTCTTGGCATTTTCATTGATTTAAGTAAGGCTTTCGACACGATATCTCACGAGAAGCTTTTATTCAAATTAAATAATTACGGAATTAGGGGCAACGCACTGAATTTGATAAAAAGTTACCTGTCAAACCGGAGCCAATATGTTCACGTCTTAAATGAAAACTCCGATAAACTTCCTGTTGAGTGGGGAGTTCCCCAAGGCTCTGTTCTTGGTCCCTTACTATTCCTCCTGTATATAAATGACCTATGCAACGTATCTAATAAAGGCAAGTTTATCTTATTTGCTGACGACACTAACCTATTCGTTTCTGCAGACTCGAAAAAAGACGTTTATAATGTAGCTAACGATATTCTTTCGTCTATTTCTAGATACATGAAATGTAATCTACTACATATTAACGCTAAGAAGAGCTGTTATATGTATTTCTCCCCAAACAAACGTGTAAATGAATCGTCTACATGCAGTACACCCGATGATTTAAATCTCTCCATAGACGGCTCCATAATAATACGTGTTAAAACAACTAAGTTTCTAGGTGTGCTGATTGATGATAAACTGAACTGGAAACCTCACATCGAATCACTAAATAAGAAACTAAGAAGTGCTTGTGGACGTATTTACCGCATAAAAATCTGTCTACCTATAAAACTGCACAAGCAGATATACCACACACTATTTGAATCACAATAAAACAAAAGTTAATAAAACAAAAGTTAAATTTATTACCAATTATTCAATCAATACATATCATAAATTCTAATAATGGAAACACAATGCAAAATGGATGTCTTAAACTATAATTTTGTTGTGACTAATAATCTATTGACTTTCAAAGTTGAATTTTAGTTAAGTATGAAATGCCACCACATCATAGTTAGGGTAAAATGTTATTTTTAAATTTAAAAATTGAGAAGATTGCTCTATGGCTTAAAATTTAAAATTCTAGCAAAAGATATCTTATTTTTAAATAGTTGGTTACAGTTTATGACAGTACTGGCATGACTAGTTTTATTGTGGCTGGTAAAAGGACCCAGTTGCCTGTAAGGGCTTTACCGAACCCCAGGGGACCACAATGTGATAAGATCAGGCCAGATGTTTCTATGTAGAGCAATTTATTTATTTTGGAGCTATGGTTATATGCTATTGATGGTGGTCATGTTTAAAGCTCAGTTTATCCTTGTGTGCTAATTATCCATCCAGATGCTTAGTCAATGAAACAAGAAATTTCAATGAAACAAGAAATTTAATTTTAGCACATTTTACAGAATAAAAAGATGTAAAACAATTCATAAAATATAATGCCCATTTGGTGTATGACTTTTTGTCCTTGACTGCTAGTTTGGTTTTGGAAGGACAGGTAACTAACGGGGCAAGGAATGCGCGTGCCTGAAAGCTTTTGCACACACCGAAACGCTAGTTCAGTTAGGTTTTTAGAGACAGGGCTCATTTTAGGACTAGAAGAAATTTGTTAGTAGACATTAGGGGTTCTGTTTATAGTTGTTACTATAGGTTGCAGTCTTGTTGTGACAAAAAGTCTACACTAAAACATGCTTTAGTTTATATTGTGTGGTTCAAGGATATAAAATGTGGCTTCAAGGTGGATATTAAAGAGCTTGCGAAAGATTATGGCCTTTGTATCAATGGTTATAATAAGCTATAAATATCTTAAACTATACAGTGCTAATTAAAAATTTCTTTATACTTCATTCTCAGATTAGATTTGAAAATTCAAAAAATATACATTTATTTTATTAATACCTTCTCACACATTCTTTACTCACAGGACAAGACTTGGAAAACAGTAGCCTAGAGGAATTTAATTGAGATGTGTGTGAACAGCCAGTTATAATGTTTGGAAAATAATATTTGTGCAGTCAAAATCTTTTACGGTCCAATCAAGCAGGGCGTGGTTATGCTGATTGGCTAATAGCGCACTTTTAAGTTTTCCTCGCAAGCACATTACACTAGTAGTAAAGTCAGTCATTCTGAACTTTGGGGTTAAAATGTTAAAAATTTTGGTTGACCTAGTGTTGTGGTTGTCAGGTGGGTCTACCTGACAGATAAGAAGGCAGGGTTTCCTCGACGAACATGTGTAACCCTCATATAGGGATATTGGAGCACGGAATTTCATTATCTTGTAGAGCTCGAGGTAACTGTGGTATGTATAGAGATTTTGTATAGCTAGAATATTATTATGCTTGAATATCGGTTTGGTGTGTTCTTTTATGAAAAATTTTTGGTCAAGTTTCTGGTGTCCTATAGGCCTAGTACGTGCACAAGTCTTAAACTTATCAAGGTACGCCAGCCTATCACCAAATAGTACTCTGAGACAGTACTTCTGAGCAGTAAATATTGAGCTTATACGTTGCTTAGCTGCCCCACCCCATACAGATATACAGTAGGAAAGATGTGATTCGAACAGAGTATAATATAATTGTTGATGTAGAAATTCTGGAAGGGAGCAGCGAAGTCTACATAAAGTGGATGTGGAATGATTTAGGGTTCGCTTAAGAGCTTTAATGTGATCTTCCCATGATAGGTTCTCGTCAATTATAACACCCAGAAACTTTGCGGATGAAACCTTTTTGATTGGATAGTTGTCTATAGTTAGTACAGGTTCAGGGTGTGATAAAATCTCTGACTTAGAACCTGCCATGTTGGGTTTGAAGTGTATGTAGCAGCACTTGGACATGTTTATATATTGTAACTTATTCGCTCTCATATAAGACTGTAATGATGACAAAAGCTCATTTCCTCGTTCATATGCCTCACGTTTTGTTTTGCCGACAACAAATATATTAGTATCATCAGCAAAGGTAACAAATGATCCTAGTTTAGAACTGTTTGTGATGTCGTTCATATAAAGAAGAAATAGGAGAGGTCCAAGAATTGAACCCTGTGGGACACCAAATTGAATAGATAGGGTATCTGATTTTTCTCCTACAACTTCAGTGTATTGTTGCCTGTTTGTTAAGTAGCTTTTTATGAGGTTATTTGCAACTCCTCTCACTCCACATCCCTCTAATTTTATAAGAAGTGTTGAATGATCGATGGTGTCAAAAGCTTTGCTAAGGTCAATGAATATTCCTAAAACATGATTCTTAAGTTTAAGAGATTTCGTAATTAAATCTACAGAGTAATTGACTGCATGCGATGTAGAGTGAGATTTCCTAAATCCAAACTGTGTCTTCGATATAACTCCCTGGGAGCTAACAAATCCGTATATTCTAGAATATATGAGCTTTTCAAAGATCTTACCGAAGACGGACAGTGTGGAGATAGGACGGTAGTTCTCGATTTCTTCTGGGTTACCTTTCTTATATACAGGTGTTATTTTACCAGTTTTCAGGACATCAGGAAATATACCTTGGGTCATAAGGATATTGAAGTAATTCGATAATACAGGTGCAATTACATGAGATGACTTTTTTATTACACTTATGGGAATGTCACTGGCTTTACCATTTTCGAACTCTCTTATGATTTTCAATATTTCGTTCGAGGAGCAATCTTCTAACCTAATATTTTTTTCATTTCTTGGGTTCAGGAAGTCATAGAAAGTTTTCATGGGTAATATAGGCAGGCCATTAGATAGATTATTCAGTGTCTCATTCAGCTTTGGTGCAATAGAGACAAACCAAGCATTGAATCCATTAGCAATTGCTCTTCTATCAACTATTCTTTGGTTATCAATGATAAATGGGGGCTTGGTTTGCCTCTTCTTTTTGCCTCTGAGTTCGTTAATAATTTGCCAGGTTTTCTTGCTGTTTTCACAGTTGTTTAGAATTTCGTTACAGTAATGCCAACGTTTGGCAGCTTTAATGATAGCTTTGAGCATCCTACGATAATCAC